TCGTAGCTCTCTTCGCATATCTTCAAGGACGGCAAGGAAACAATCCCCGAGTACACGGAGGATAACCGCCGTGAACCCTGACATGTCCGGAAATACATCCGATTGCCTCATAAAATTCTCCTAACTAGAGTCGGCGTTCCCACAGCAATTTACGTACAGATACCGAGCATCGGATGCGCCTGTCATAACCGAGAGAGTTTGACGTCGGAAAAACGGACACGGAGAAGCTGCAGATCTGGACCAGTGTGACATGACACCATCCGATTATGTCACATGACAGGTCAGAAGTCACACTCCCACGGCAACATCTAGCGGAATGATGACGGGCTTCAACCGCTCGGTGCTGAAACAGGAGCTTTGCCGCGCAGAACAGTTCGCTACCACAGGTCGGACGAGATCTCCGGACCGTGTGGTCTGCTGAAAACCACGTATTACGACATTGTAGCTCTCTTCACATTATCTCAAGGACGGCAAGCAAACAATCCCCGAGTACACGGAGATAACCGCCGTGAACCTGACATGTCCGGAAAGACACCATGCAATGTCAGAGTGCGCAGGGTCGCGCATGGCATCGGCTGCCGGGAAATCCACGTTTTCACCCCACTCCGGGAGCGGGGCTATGCTGCACACTCCAGATTTGAGAGCTCACTCAGCTGCTGAGGGGATATAAGGACAGCACTGGACTGGCCTGTGGTCTCTCAACGAGCTACTAATATTGCTTTCATACGTCTCTCGCTTTCCTACGACAAGTCCTCCATAACCCTTCGCCATCAACATGTGTCTGACACCCGTTTCCGTGAGCAACATCCCTTTCCACGTAAGACACATTGTCTGACCGCTGTACATCTAGATTCGGTTCTCCTACAACCTCCCTAACCCTGTCGTCATGCACGACAGATTCATGGGGGTCATGCGGATAGACGAACTCTGCGATATGGTTCTTGACCGGTTCACTCCCGCGTCGATCGCAGCGTTTCGCAAGGTCAACAGAGACTTTCGCTCCCGCGTTCTGGAGTATCTGCGATCCCGCCACCGTATTAACCGCGCCCTCTCGACATTTTTCGAGTACCCCTTATCCTTCCGTCGCGTTCTCTACGAGTGCTCCGCACTCCTTTCAGGGAAGTTCGCCCTAAGTTTTATTGGACGACTCCGGTGGGATGTTCGCCAGCTGGACATCTACGTTCCTCGATACCGCGTTGATCGGCTCACCATGTTCCTTCGTGGCTCTGGATACCAGTACTCCCCGTTCCCTGGTCAGCGTCCTAACCTCCTTAATGAGCTAGTGCGCGATTGGCATCCCATCCAGTTCGACAACAAGTCGGGGCGTCCCTTCCTCTGTCCCACTGAACGGTCGCGGGGTGTTAACGCCATCTTTCGTATGATCAAACGGCTGGACAATGGACGTCGTCTCACCATCCTGATCATCGAGTCCGTCGACGCTGCAATGCGCCCAATATTAAACATGGATTGCAGTAAGTAATTCCATAGCTTCCACTATTTTGATGTTGCTGACCCATTCCGGCAGCGATTGGGATGAACATCCTGAGCCATGACCGCGCCTATTGTGCCTACCCCATCGGAACATTCGAGGCGAAGGCCGGTCTGGTGATGCCTCAATCGGAGGTTATAGATGGCAAGGGCCTGCGCGAGCTGTGGAGACATGGCTGGAGGCTTTTTGACTCCGCCTCTCCTTTCGTTGAAGCATGCTTCCCGGACGTCTCTCGGTGGTTGGACGACAAATACAGCTACACATTCGACCTGTGCACCCCGCCCAACGAGCGGTCCTTGTTTCAACTGCCAATCCGCGGTACATGGCGACGGCTCCCCGACCCCCTTCAAGTGACGAACTGGCGCCTGCGCTACAGCTCCAGCGGACTGGGTTTCATGTGTTTCTCGGCGGTGGTCTCGCGATCGTTGGCCAACTTCTATATAATTCACGACGAGTCTCTCGTCCGCGGAATGCGTCGTCTATTTCGAGCCGTGCTTCGCGATACATGGTACACGAACCACGACGAAGTTCTGAGGGATGCTCCCAGCTTCGACACCACATCCATCTGGTCGTTGTGAGTCAATATATATTTTTGCATGTCGCGCTCGACTTACCAAAATGATATGTAGCCATGATGATGCATTTGTTCATGAGATGAAGATCATCAGGTACAGCGTGAAGTCCACGGCTCAGCTGATTCGTCGCTGTCATCATTCCTTCGAGTTCATGTCGCGTGTAAGTACATAATTGGTGGTATTCCGACAATGCTAACATAGAGCTAGTTGATAGGCATCTGTCGGGTTAATCGTAAACTGAGATCACTTGAGCTCTAGTCTCAGATTGAACATTCGACCGTGTGAATGTAGATAGCCTACAAAAGACATAAATAAATGTCCCGTGTGACGTAATGATTATCTCAGACGTAAAATACCGTGCCAGTGAAACTCAACATAGAGCTATTTGATAGACATCTGTCGGGTGAATCGTAAACTGAGATCAGTTGAGTTCTAGTCTTAGATTGAACATTCGACCGTGTCAATAATAGGAAATGATCATTACCCGTATAAAAAATGAGCATTATTCTGTTGATACAGTTTATTACACCCTATTATACAATGCCAAATTGTCTACAAACAATAATACACTTGCTGAATGTCCAGTATCCCGGGGGGTGTATGAGTGCTACGAGAGAGCTCTCTAGTTGAAGTGTAAACGATTGTATGTTAATATAGATAGTGTTGAAGTGTATAGTGCTGAATTAAAGGCATCGAAAGGAGTGGTGAGATAATCGATCAATCTACATGTACGCTACGGAACGTAATCCTGTCCCTCAAATCCTGGATCCTGTCAGATAAACGCCGAAGCTCAAAAACAGAAATCATACATACATGGCCCAATGCGAACGTGGTGCGCCCTCTTGCCCGAGATAACGGCGCCGAGGTGGTTCTTGACGCGCACCTGGCAATGGTTTCTGGGGTCCGCAAGCCCCGCTCTGTATCGAGCCGGGGTAGAACCGCGATGTGCGGTACTAGTCGTACAACGTCAATAACGAACGCGGCACTATCGAAATAGCCAACGCACCTCGAATAGACGTTCAGCACCGGCCACTTGCTATTGCCGAACTTGGACAGAGCCCAAGTTCGCAATATGCCCTCGACGTGCGCTTTGAAAGCCGGCTGCGTCTTGTACGCGTTCGCGGTGGTGAAGAATACGTTGACAATCGGATTCGGCATGTCGAGGCGTCGAGGAGAGTGGAGCGGAAGTAAGCGGTAGTGAGAAACAGGGTAGGACACGGTGAAGACGGTCGAGTGCGGTCGGTGAGAGAAGTGGGATGCAATTAAGCGCCCAACGGTGCGTACTGGCATTGATATTTTTTTCTCTCGCGATTACATTGTATCTACTACAATTTAGGAAGAATAGAAACTATTATACAGGATTCGAATAGCTATTTGATGCCAACTGTGTTGACTACTTCCAGGGATCGGCATTTCCGATAAGGCAGCCGTTTTAATCAAGCGCCCGATCTTATCAAATCGAAGCTCCGGATCTCTCGGATCGTCCCCGAGCACAGCATTCGTCACATTTCTTACTTAAGCCAAACGCAGGACCTCATACACTTACGTAACTGATGCAAATGTCTCACGATCACCCCCAATGTGATATCGGCATTTCGGCAAACTGACTGCCTTCATTTTAATATTGATTGCGCTAGTTACGTCAGCCTTCCCACGCCTTCAAAAGTCACGCTGCTGCGTCCATCGCAATTTAGGCGCCCGCAGTGGCGGAATCACGCTTTGTCACGCTTTCATCACGCTTTGGCTGGGTCACAGCCCTTGTCACTGTGACAACTCCCAGTGCAACAGCCAACTCCCACCTTCGGGGGAGTCGGGATGAAGTCATGGCTGCCCACCGCGACGGCGCAGAACGTTACATATACCGCGGACCGTCCAACATGGCTCGCCACAGGAAACATACCCCGCCCTCATCATCCTCGTCGACGTCGGCGACGATAACATAGTCGATATCTGAACGATGGGCAAACAAGAGATCTCAAAGCCCAACCCGCCGCCGGACGCGTCTCATCTCCCGGACGCGCTCCTCAGGCTCCGCATCGACCTCGACGATGCGAAGAAGACCGTCCTCACCGACGCCGAGCTCTCCGCCCTCCAGAAATTCAGAAGAGCAGCAGACTACATCGCGGCCGGTAAGGCGTCCTCCATTCCCCTGCGGCGTATTGACTAGTCAATGACGAGCATATTCGTACTAGCCATGATCTTCCTGAAGGACAACACCCTCCTGCGCTCG